TTGGGTAACTGAACAAAAGTGAAATAACCACCCATAAGTAAAAAGGAAATGAAATAAAGAGGCTCACATCAATACAGTTATTAACGGTTCTACTAACTCAGTGTTATAAAGGGAATAAAACAAAGATTTTAATGTAGATAATGAAAAGTTTTGTACATTAAATTTGAGAATTCTTCGAAGATTAAATATATTAAGAATATGTTGACTGTATAACCCTGATGACATTGCTGGACAAGATGAAACACCTATCTATACATTGTTCCAATTTGGAATTCAAATGTCAACCTCTTTAAAGTAAAAGAGATAATGTACCAAGAGCCACTTTATCTCAATTCTTAAGTTATAATTTCAAAGTTACATCAAAATGATATATTTGTATGTGTAATTTATTCAACATTGTCATTAAATGCTGAAAAAATTCAGAAATTTCAATAAATCACAGTCCCAACAAACATAATATCATGGCTATTGGTCATACTGGATGTAAACTGTGTTGTACTACCAAAAATTTGCAATATTTGGTCAGGATATGAGCTTTACAAAACATATTTCATGGGATTACTGCATGAGAATGCAACAATAAAGACTCCTCCCCACTTCTTGCTGTCTAAATATTTTTTTGAGATGAATTTAAAAATTCAATTTGAATAAATTCCTGAACTGTGAAGAATATCTTGCTCCCTACATATTACATCTGAACTATTATTCACAAGAGGCATAAATTTAAAGCAATCACTGCTTCTCAGAGACCATTTTTGTTCAAATACTGAAATATTGGTAATGCATAATGATAAAAGAACTTGAAATTGTTAACATCAAAATAAACTCCCTGAATTGTTCACGTTACCTATGGATTTATTGATCTGTGAATTATCTTCACATGCACCTTTCCATTCACACCAATTATTTTGTGTTAATGGGATACTGAAAGAAGATACAACATTTTTCATACTATTTAAATGTTACATGAATGTTAACAGGAACAGCATAGACATTATTACTTTCCTCACATTCTACATCGATGTGTCCCAAGGCATATTGCATATTTCCACATAATCTATAGGTATATTTCACTTCCAATCATTTGACCAATAGCTGATATGATTTTATTTTTACCGAAGTTGGTTGTCTGTTTCCGACTATTAGACATTCCGTTTTACCTATTCTGATATACTTATATTTGGTTCTCTCCTTCTTGGTTAGGAGACCAATCTTTATTCGGAAATAATTGAGGAGACATAATAACATCATACTTCTACACACAACAAACATTCACACTAATGAATACCAAGTTACATGTTTTTATTTGATGCTCAAAACAACCATTCAGCCTTAAGGTATACTACCTACCTGACATCATCTTCTTCTCCAAAGAAAGTTCCATTTCCTTGCTCATCCACAAAGCCCGGCCACCATACCCCTTTTTCTAGTTTAATCCAAATGTATTGTGACAAAGTGCTACATGCAGAACCATCTATAAAAACACAAACAGTATCATGTTTTAGGTAAAGTTTCCAATTATAATTGCTGTGCAAGTTTTCACTTTTGTTGGCAAAAAATGAAAAAAAAAGTGGGTTTACAAAATCATGAAACATTTCTCTGTATACCACAGATATCACATATATGACATATTTGTGAAATCTCATTACATAAGATACATATATACAGACCAAATCTGATTGGTATCTCTCCATTGGAACAGGAGAAGAAAGATTTTTAATGTTTTACCTCAATTTCCCCTATTGTCACCCCCCATCCCCAAGGGGGCCACACCCATCATTTATACAAAATTGAATCCTATCTTTGCCCAAGGATTCTCCAGACCAAATTTAGTAAAATCTACTGGGCCGCTCAGGACTAATAGCGTTTTAAAAGAAAAGTTGACTTTGGTTCGATCCCAGGCAGAAGCATACACATGAAAGTATCTCTGCTACAATTATACTATCTTTATTCAGTCTACATGAAAACTGTTGCATACTGGCCATCAATAGCATTTGTAACTTATGGGAACAGTTGTATTAAAGGATATAAAACTTAACTGGTCTATCATTAATTTTCACATCATTAACTACAATTTTACTGACCTAACTGGAGCTACATTTGTAGTAATGAACTTGCATACAAGATAATATATATATAATTTATTCAATTTACATCAATGAAGTTATTTCAACTTATTATACATTAATTGCTCTTGTTTGTCAGGGTATTGTTAGTGTGCAGGTGTCTAATTCTTATCTTGTGAGGAAACTTGAGTGCCAATGGAGATCTAGAGAAAATCTGTGGTGTGGCAAGCGACCCATACCGTCCGGCCAGTGAATCGGAATTCAGTGTCTTTGTGAAGGCAGGTGCGCTATCCACTGCACCACCCTGCGTACTTTGTTGAAAGTATAATTATATGTATATGACAGCAAAATACCAGTTTTTATCTGTTTCCTTTTTGAGGTTGTTCCTTCCTGTTCTCCTCTTCTCTTTCTCCCCATACTGTAGGCCTAGTGAGTGTCGGCACTGTAATTTAACCAGAAAAAACTTTGTGTAACAGACAATCAGTGCACAAACATGTAAACAAAAAGAATAGGCCCAGTTCATATTTGTTTACCATAAACATATACTTGCAAACTTTTTCGATATGTAACTCGATCCCTGATAGTATTTGTCAAAAATGCATCAATCACCTAGTGTAGAAGTGGAGGTTATAGGTGGTCTTACAAGCTCAGTCTATGGAGAACTTCTCTTATAGTCTTATTGGTAGGATGCTCACCATGAGAGCGAAAGGTCGCTAGTTCGAGCCCCAGCACGGGCAGACATTTTTCATTACTCCCTTCTGTACACATTTTTTTACATAGGTCCATGTCTTTTATTTGTCAATATTGGGAGCTCTGCCCCCAACCCCCTGTCTTTTATTTGTTTCCCAGAATTACTGTAGAGTCCTTAATAGCATACTTAATTGAACTGATACTTCTCTTAAATTTAGCAGAAAAATGTAAATTAACTGCCTTCCGAGGACCTACGTAACAGATTCTACCCCTCCCTCCTACTACACATAAAATAAAGAGAAAAACACACCATGCAAGGCAAAAATTTCAAATGTTCCTCTTCAGTCCAGAAATACTTGTAACTCGGAATTGTTGAAGCAACTAACGTTACGCATCATTGACAATATTTACAACCATACAACATAAATCCTTATCGACAATAAAGGTTGATACTTTTAGCAGTGTTTTTACCGAAAACACAAACAACGGATATTCTTTGTTGTTTTCTGAGAAATCAGTATGAAAATCTAACCCATGAAATGTGCAATAACATATGCACTGATCAAAACTTCGGTACTGTTTCATACAAATGTACCCAACAGCTTTTCGTTGATCCGTCATGTTTGAACAAATGGCGGATACTACTATTACGGTTTCGCCCGAAATTCAGCTTGCCCAGGGGAAGTTGTTTCGCCTCTATTGAACATTAGGCCTATAACAAAAAATAACGTTAAGGCGAAACAGGACTAACAAAACCATAATAGAATTTGAGTTGGGGGATAGGAATCACTTGGTGCGAAATGACTCTGGGCGAACGAGATTATGGCGAAAGGTCCTGCTTGTTTTTCAAACACCTGTAACAGTAAAATTAGGACTACCTCGCTAAGCGTGTGTTATGAACTAAGTTAGAACTGAAAGCTACCTATATCTTTGGATTTTAAAATTAGCTATTCATTCAATCAGTTATTTAATATACTCTAACTCACCTGAATCTTCATAGCCCACTTATTTTTTAATCATTCAGGCCCTGTTACCTCGGTAAGCCGGTATTCTGTTTCTGTGGGTGTGTAGATGTTGACCAATGAAATAGAGTGTGACGTAATTACGAAGAACCAATAGAAACACTTCTTTTAGAACGCGTGTGTGGTGTGTGCGAAAGAAAAATCTAAGCTCTGTAGCTCACCACATCTGAATGCACACCCTACATAACGTTTCACCGCTGTTGTGAGGTACCTCTGAAACTTTGTGGGTGAAATTTAGAGTAACCATGGACGCATTTCCCGAGGTATACATACCGAGGTATCGGGAAAAAGTACCTCGGTAGTTTTTTTGGTACCTCGGTACGTGGATGTGTAACACTATATCCTACCTCGGTATGTAACAAAAACGAACACACACACACACACACACACACACACACACACACACACACACGCACACACACACACACACACACACACACACAGAGACAAACAGACAGACATACCTACGTAACATACATCATGGGGAAATGCTTGTCAGTTCATTCTGGGGATTTGTTCATCAGGATAAATATACTATGTGGGATGAATATTTATGTTGGTATAAATGGCTGTTGTGCAGGTTTTTGTCTGCACAGTATGAGGACCACTAATTATGTAAGTACATTGTGTATGTGTGAGGAAATACTGCCATCAAACATATTTCTTTTATAAAGGTTACTTTGAAGTACTGAGAAAGAGAAATGAATTTAAATGTTTTAATCTAAGCCCAATATAGCTTTTGGAAATTATTTCAAGCAGTGAGTTGTGCAATAACTCAACAAGTCCGTTTTAAAGACTGATATGACTGTATTCTGTCTGATGGTCATTTACATGTGTGGTAGCCATGCTGACTATAGCGGAAGCGGAAGTTGTTGGGGAGCATCCCTTACTTAGATATTATATAGGGAGCAGTTATTATAATAGTTCATGTCATTACATCTCCCTTTTTTCAAGTTAAGATCTATGTTATTAACAATATCAAACATGGCCACCAATCAGTCAATAGATGTACAATAACTAACATGGTTTAACTACTTTAACAATAACTCAATATAAACTGACTAGTTAAGCTCACATATGACTAGATGATGAATATTTTAAATGATTCAAATTGAATTAAAATTGTTCATTTTACACCATTGTATTCTGTGTTATTTATCTTATCTAGTCAACTACTAAAACATTAACATATATACAGTCTTATAACACAAGGCAAGTTCCTTTAGGCCTCAATCAGCCTTTTGGGGGCTTTAATGACACGACCGCTGCGTGTTTTGTACATGTTACTCGTCTCAATGTCACTATTGCCGAGTTCTGGCTCTGGGTTAAGTTCTGGTTTGCAGTCAACTTCAAATTCTGGTTCGCGTTCAACATCAGGTTCACGTTCCACATCAAGTTCGCGTTCAAGGTTAGGATCTGTTACACGTAGATCCTTTCTATTTCGTCTCACTGTTCTGTCATTCAACTTAACCTTGTAGGACCTTGGTCCTGCCGGACCAATCACAGTTCCATATTTTCTCCAGTTCTTTTCTCCTAGTTCACAAAGTCGAACCTTTGTATTTTCTGTGAGTGGTTCAAGCGTTTTAACTGCAACCCGATCATGATAATACTTCTGTGTTTTTCTCTGTCTTTCTTTCCACGACATGACATAGTGGTCTTCGGGTTTGTTTAGTTTTCCAGTTGCAATGGGCAAATTACAGCGGAGTTGTCTACCCATTAACATCTCAGCAGGAGATAATCCATTCTCCATAGGTGTTGTTCTGTATGCCAATAATCCTAGGTGTGGATCTTGGTTGGTTTGTTTACATTTGCGAATAATGGATTTCATAGTTTGGACTGCTCGTTCAGCCATACCATTGGATTTCGGATATCCTGGACTGCTAGTCACATGCTGAAAATCCCATTCCTCCGCAAATTTAAGAAACTCCTTGCTACTATAGCAAGGGCCATTATCACTCATTACCTGTTCAGGTATGCCGTATCTAGCAAAAGTAGTCTTCATGACTTGGATCACCGCTGTTGAGGTTTGATTGGTTAGTTGTACCACCTCAGGGTAGCCAGAAAAGGCATCTACGACAACAATATATGGGGTTCTATCCAGTTCAAACAAGTCTGTTGAGACTTTCTGCCATGGTCTTGACGGTATTGGGTGTGACAACAATGGTTCAGCCATCTGTTGTTTCTGGTGAACTTGACATGGTTCACAAATTTTCACCAAATTCTCTATGTCCTCAGTCATGCTAGGCCAAAATAACACTTCGCGTGCTCTTTGTTTACATTTGCTCATGCCTAAATGTCCAGCATGTATTTTCTGTAACATGTCTTTCCTGAGATTTTTAGGAATTACCACTCTGGATCCCTTGAATACTATCCCTTTAATCACTGACAGTTCATCTCTATAGTTCCAAAATGGTCGTATCTCATAAGAACAGTCACTGCGACTCTCTGGCCATCCATCCATAATGGTGTTTTTTAAGCTAATGAGCACTGTATCTTTTTGTGTTTGTACACGTATCTCTTCAAGTTTACGATCTGCGACTTGAATATTTGCCATGACTCCATCAACATATACCTCAACGTCATTCTCGGTTGTGGACTGTTCACCATGAACTGGAGCTCGCGACAACGTGTCCGCAGTGTACATATACTTTCCTGGTGTATGTAATAAGGTTACGTCATATTTTTGTACCCGTAGTCGGAATCGTTGTATCCTGGGCGGACAATCATTTAAACCTTTTGTAAAAATCGCTAATAGTGGTTTGTGGTCTGTTTCGACCTCAAACTTTGCTCCGTACACATACTGGTGGAACCTTTCACATGCATAGACAACCGCCAATGCTTCCCGCTCGATCGATGCATATCGTGATTCTGTGTCCGTCAATGCCCGTGATGCATACGCAACAGGGAGCCACTCGGTGTTGTGCTTTTGTAGAAGTACTGCGCCAAGTCCTTTCTGACTTGCGTCTGCAGAAATCCTGATCAACTTTGTGGGGTCGTAGTACTGAAGTACTGGACTGTTTGAGACAATTTCTTTCAAATTCTCAAACGATTTCTGATGAACATCTGTCCATTCCCAACAGTTTTTCTTATCTAGCAAACCTCTCAAGAGTGCTGTATGCGTTGACAAGTCTCTTATAAAACGCGCTAAGTAGTTGATCATCCCTAGGAAACGTTGAATATCGTTTTTGCACTTGGGGGTTTTCCATGTCTTGAATAGCTTTGACCTTTTCGAGGTCAGGCTTAACACCGTTCTTTGTAACTCTATCTCCAAGAAATGTTAGCTCGGGCACAGAAATTTCACATTTCTCACGCTGTAGTTTTAACCCAGCTTCTCGCGTTTTATCTAACACGTTTCGCAAGTTTCTGTCATGGTCTGCCTGATCAACTCCCCATACTATGATATCGTCCATGGATGTATCCACGCCCCTCATGTTCTCATACAAAAGGTGTATAGTTCTATGGAAGATCTCTGGTGCACTGGAGATTCCGAATGGTAAACGAAGAAACCGATATCGACCATATGGAGTATTAAAGGCACATAATTTGGAACTTTTTTCCTCCAGTTGTAGTTGCCAAAATCCGCTTGATGCATCAAGCTTTGAAAAGACTGTTGCACCAGCAAACTTCGCCATAATTTCTTCACGAGTGGGTAACTTGAAATGTTCTCTACATATAGCCCTATTCAAGTTTCTGGGGTCCAGGCAAACACGCAACTTTCCATTGCTTTTATGTACAATTACCATGGAATTTACAAATTCAGTTGGCTCCTCAATAGGTTTTATAACCTGTAGTTCCTCCATCCTGTCTAACTCCTGTTTCAACTGGTCGTGGAGTGCAAATGGTACCTTTCTACAGGTTTCCTACTGGTTCTGCATCAGGTTTTAACTTAATCTTTACTTTGTCGGCAAGACATCCTAGCCCTTCAAATAAATCTTTGTACTCTGTGAAAATATCTGGTGATTTTACACTGTCCTCCTTGTCCACCATCAGTACCCGTTTGACAAGTCCCATACTGTCACACTGCTTTCTACCTAGGATAGGTTTAACAACACTGCTAGCAATGACAAACAGCGCTTTCTTTGTAAAACCTTTGTATTTTATGTCCAGTACACATTGTCCCTTGGTTGGGATAGATCCTCCATTGTAGGCTGTCAATTTAACTGTTGACTGGTGAAGTCTAATTTTATGACATTGCTTGTTGATCCTATTAAAATCTGCAATACCCATAATGTTGACATCTGAGCCTGTGTCGAGCTTCATCGGTATAGCACATCCATTGACATCAATGTTAACTATCCATGAATCATCAGTTTTGTTGCTGTCATGTACTGCATCTACAAAGAATTGTTGATCTGTCTCGACTGAGTGTACTTTCTGTTGGTGTTTTGGTTTCGTTTTCAAATTGTTGTTGTTAAAATTGGTTCTTGTCCTACACAGTTTCTGGTAATGTCCTGTTTTACCACATTTATAACAAGTTTTTTCCTTAGCTGGACATGGACTTCCTTTATGATCCATTCCACATTTCTGACATCGAGATGTATTATGTTGCGGGACTCGTGGGCCTTTTCCTTTGTATGAACTCTGGTTGGGATTCTTTTGAGACTGTTTCTTTATCAAATCTACGGATTTCTTTTCAGTAGTGTTTTCTGACACGATACCTTTCATTTGTACGTCAGTTCTTTCCGCGGCTCTACATAAATCAATGCATTTATCCAGATTCAGCTCGCGTTCCCTTAACAGGTGTGCCCGGGTTTGATCTTTGCCGATCCTTTCTATAATTCTATCTCGAATCAGACCTTCCTTCAGATTCCCAAAACCACAATCTTTTGAAAGAACTTTGAGCTCTGTTAGAAATTGATCAAATGTTTCTCCGGATTTCTGTACCCTGCTATTAAACACATGTCTCTCATACGTTTCATTCTTTTTCGGAATGCAGTATTCAGACAGTTTCTGTTTCAAAGGTTCTATCTTATCCTTTTCCTCCTCTCCGAAGTTAAATGTACCTACCAGCTCTATAACTTGCTCTCCTGCCAGCGATAATAGAGTGGCACATTGTAGTTTCTCAGATTTCTTATCCTTCTCAGTGGCACACATGTATAGCTCATATTGTTGTAGCCAGCGCTTCCAACTTTCTGAAATGTTCCCATCTAAGGAAAATGGCTTCGGCGCAGGAAAATAATCACTCATCCTTGACGTTGGACATCTACTGTTACTTCTGACACCATGCAATAACTCAACAAGTCCGTTTTAAATACTGATATGACTGTATTCTGTCTGATGGTCATTTACATGTGTGGTAGCCATGCTGACTATAGCGGAAGCGGAAGTTGTTGGGGAGCATCCCTTACTTAGATATTATATAGGGAGCAGTTATTATAATAGTTCATGTCATTACAAGTTGTAGTTGTATAACTCAAGTTGCAACAAATTAAAAATTCTTTAAAGTTTCTCATTAAATTCGACTTAAAAATAATGTGCTTTGCATTGCAGACTCTAGTTATGTATTTTGTCTTTAACATCTGGTTTTTATTAGTTATTGATAGGCAAATTAAGTCAATAATGACAGACTCTGTCTCATCCCATATCCACAGACAAATCTGCCTCTTAATGACAGACCCCAGTGTCTCATCCCACACCAACAGACAGATTTACCCCATACTGACAGACTCTTATCTCATCCCATATCGACAAAGTGGCCCCATACTAACAGACTCTATGTCTCATCCCATACCGACAGACAAAGTGGCCCCATACTGACAGACTCTGTGTCTCATCCAATATCGACAAATTGGCCCCATAACGACAAAGTGGCCCCATACTGACAGACTCTGTGTCTCATCCCTTTCGACAAAGTGGCCCCATATCGACAGACAAAGTGGCCCCATAACGACAAAGTGGCCCCATAACGACAAAGTGGCCCCATACTGACAGACTTTGTGTCTCATCCCATACCGACAAAGTGGCCCCATACTGACAGACTCTGTCTCATCCCCCTATTGACAGACAAACTTTCCCCCTTTTGCCAGACTGTGTCTTTATTTCTGGTTTTCATCCCATATTGAAAGACAAATTTACCCAGTAATGACAGATAAATTAACTCCCCATTGACAGACAAATTTGCTCCATATTGAGAGATTTAGTATCTTATATTTTTCATCTCATATCAACAGACAAATTTGCTCCATATTGACAGATACTTCCAGTCATGAGGAGATAGACATGCTTGCCCACATTTTCAGGCACCCATACTCATAAGGGTTTCTCCAGATGCACAAATGTAGTATCGTAATATGTGGCACTTGCTCCACAATTTATGACATTTCCCTTATTGACTTTTGAGTTTTCATTCCAGTGACCAAAAATATGATCCCTATAAAGTTGAGATTGAAAGTAAAAACTAAAGAAAGTTCAGATTAAATTTCATAATTTTAGAATAAACCCCCCTGTAGAAAATATTTTCCCACCCGATTCCTTGTTGGTCAAGAAAGCAGTCATAATTATTGAAGTGAGAAAAAAGAGGAAACAAAGCTGATCCCATTTCGACAAGTGACTGGTTATAAATGCAGATCTTGATGTGAGTTTTCTACCAGAAGGGATCAGTTATTCATTTTGAGATAATCATTACAGAATGAACTATCTGTAGAATATCAAAAGTGATACTCTATCAAACAACGAATCACTTTGTAAATGAATATTTTCTAATGTGCATGTATGAATGAGATTTCATACACTGTACTGTATACAGTAATTACAAATAACTTCCTGGTACAGTAAAGACATTAGAGACTCATTACCAATATATAAATCTTTTATTTATTGTTTATTCGTGTACAATTTCTTACTCTCCTGAAAAACATTTCAGCAAAAAGTGTACAAAAGAAATCTCATATTTGCAAAATTATAACCTACAAAATATTTTCCATTCATCTGTCATATAAACAGATCATACTTCACCTATACCATGATATACCAACATCGACTTTTTTAAGCAATATGAAACAAGAGATCCCAGGGAGATCTTTGCACCAACCCACCATTGGAAGATCTTTAATCAGATCTTAAAATATAGTCTCTACCTTTGTTTTGTCTTTAATTTCTTACAAGTTTTAAAATTCAGGGAATCCTTTACTGGAACGTACCTTAAATTCAACATATTTATATTACTCTATTTTCTGTTAATCATGGTGTTTCTTTATAATAATTATGTAATGACTACACATGAAATATGAAGTCCCTCCACTACTTCTCAAAAGCTATTGATAACAAACTGTCATTGTTAAAATCCAAGATGGCCTCCTGTCAGCCATTTTGTTTTCCTCAAATTGAATGGCATGATTGGCAACATACTAGTACTTGAAAATATCCACCAAATAGTTTTGGAGAATAGAGATAAACTTTCATTGTCAGCATTCAAGATATCTGACCAGTCCCAAAATTAAAACAGAACAACTTGTCTCCATTGGAAACGTACAAATGAAATTTAAAGAAGGTTCATCCAATACTTGTCAAGAAATAGCTATAACACCTTTTCCTTGTCAAAATTTGCTATGACTGCCAGTCTGAACAGAAACAAAATCAAAACAGTAGCAAGGGGAACAAACATAGGGAATCTGAGAAATATTCATCCTGTACTTCTCAAGGAAGAGTGATAACAAGAATTGTTTGACAATAGACGGACAGACCATAGGCCATCGACGCAGGACAATTTGAATAGCCAACCATCTGTTAATGTAGATAAAATGTCTGAAAAACAAACATCAAAATAAGCTTGAACATAAACTCCTTTACGAAATATATACATTTCTTGTATATTGGCATTTATATGAAGAGTAATGCAGAAAGAAAGTATGTAGAAAAGAATCGAGTTTTAGCAGTTGAAATGCTGACTTTCCTTTAAAGACCTTTTGTAGCTTTCTTTCATATGAAAATTTAATAAAAACATTGAATAGCAGAAGCAATCAATGTTCATGATGGTCACTGAGACAATCATACAAGCTCGCTTACTGGTAATTGGTGAAATATGTTGCAAGATAGCAAAGACCTTTGATAAAGTGACATTAACCTCTGGTCAGGTGACTCCTTGTTTATTTCTTACCACATTAATTTCATAGTCATCACAAAAGGTCCATCTGTGAAAAGATCACAATATCTGACCTTAAGCTATGATTTTTTGGCCTTGACATTTGACCTTGGTATTGATCAATTTGTCTGTGAGCCAAATATCTTTTGGCCAGGTTTCATATAAATAAGTCAACAGGGCCGAGTTAATTTGTCCAGAAACAGATAACAGATAAAGAGAGAACTGTTGTAGAAGTACAGCACATGTTATTTGGATGATTTGGATTTTACATAACCAATCATTCCACTTCCTCCACACAGGTATAATGTGTAATAGAATGCTTACAAATCCCTCTCACAATCTTATTGCTGAAAAAAATCAAACTTACTTGGGGTTATACTACTGAGTATCTTTTAATGATATCATTTATCAAAATCGACTTAATTCTAAGGAAAATATTCACCATAATGGACATAAGGAAGCCAAGAGGTTAAGTTGAAGATTTTTTAAGTTTTTGTTAGAAATAGCAGGAATAATTATGTAATCATATAATGTAAAAAACATGTAAAACAACTCTATTTGAAACAACAAATACTGGAGTCACCCAATGTTTTAACGTCAGTGTTCTTGAAGAAACATTACAAAAATTACATGGCATATCCATAAGTCTTTATGACAATTGAGGCATATTAACTAAAATAAACCCTTAACCTAGGGCTGTCATAGAATCAACTAGAAAGGAATTCTATGTTAATATGGAATTCATGAGCAAGACAAAAAAAATGCTGTAAACAAGGTGATTCTGATAAATGGCCATTGGCTTAACCGGGTCCTGAGATTGGAGAAATATTCTCAAATGGGACAGTCCCTAATCAGCTGGATGAAGCCTGAGCCAAGAATTTTTTTTTTTATTTTAGATGTGTCCAAGCGCCAGATTAATCCTCCTCTTTTTTCCATCTTCAATATGTTTTTTGCCTGGGGTTTTGTCTTTTCTGAAGAATTCCTTGAAAACATCCTTAAGTTCTTCCAACTCTTTAAAGATCCACTTGTGCCTATTTAAAGTTGGCGCCTTCCTTTTGTCTGGTTCTGCAGAAATAAAGATTTTAATTGAAGGTTATTGATATGTTATAATAAAATCAACACAAGCAAACATACTACCTGACAGATCAATAAAGACAGACATAAAGTATAAAAGATGGATTTACTGACACAAAAGCTATGCACTAGACAGTAACCTGCTTATGAGAATGTGCTATTGAAGGAAAATGAGGTCAATGTGCTATTGAAGGAAAATGAGGTCCACAGGCTTCAATGGTCAACTAACTGAAAGACCTTCAGAAATTACAAGATGGCAGCCATGCAAGCCATATTGAAGTTCAGATTGACCGAATAAAATAACAACAATTGTTCAAGATCATCTTAGGCTCATATCAGGTAAGTTTCAGCTAAAACCTACTTCAGAAGAAGTTTAATGCCCTTTTTCAAAATGAAGTTCATGGCTGCCTTCATGGATTTTGGACCAGCCTGAAATAATTACACTTGGCCAGAACCATTTTGGAAGAATTTCTGTTAACTTACAGCTCAATCCCACTTACAGAAATTGAAAAGAAGTTTAAAATGTCTTTTTCAATATGCCGCCAATCTGAAACTTCAGATCAATCTAAAAAGTAACAACACTTGGTTAGACCATTTCGGGATTCTTTCAGGCAAGTTTAAGCTCCATCCCACTTGTAGGACTTGAAAAGGAAGCTTAAAATATGAAAAGTTTACACCTGGCGGACAACGGACAGAGGATGGTGCTTGACACATCCTGACTCTTTGTGTCAGATGACCTATAAAGAGAGACAAAGTCTCTATAATCAGCTACCTAGATCCAAATTATTCATGGCGAATCTCCCCCATAACCTTTTCCTGTTTGATATTATTTATATACATACTACTTTTGGTGGGCTCCTCAATCTGTTCTAGAAGGTCTGGGATGAAATCTCCATCTTCTCGGCTGTCCTCTGTTTGATCCAAACTTGCTTTTTCTGCATCTCCACCTATCTCTCCAAGATCTCTACTGTTTTCTAGCAACTCTGAATGTTGAAAGAATTATGTTTTTTAACAGAGGCATATGCATTAAAAGAAACTACTTAATGCAGCATCGCATTGACAAAATTTCAATTTCATGGAGTTGAAGTAATTATTCTTAAACTCTCTAAGTAAATTATATCATTACATGTAATCAATCCTAAGACAGGTTTCTTCCCTTTTGCAAGTTATAGTTTTTGTAGAATATTGTTAAGCTTTATCATTTCCTCATCAATTATTGTCATGATGGTAAATGAAGGTAGAATTGTGCCACAGTATCATAACTAGAACTATAAACACATTTGACCCTATGACCTTAAAAGGAGTTATTCATTTAGACAAACTTATAAGACCTTCATCCTATCACGCTACATACCAAATATTAATGTTCTTTGCCGATCTTTTTTTTTCAAAGAAATTATTGAATGAAATGGTTATGCAATAGCATGATGACAGACAAAGCATGATGGCAATAGGTGATATCAACCCCTTGGGTCAGTAACCTAAAATACTTAAGTTTAAAGCACTGTAGCATGACTTTATTACCATCTAGCTGGATCTCCTCTAGGTTTTTTTCCCTTTAAATTTTCCAACCATTCTATTGTCCAACAGCAACAGCAGTTTTGCGATGTCAACCCTCTCTATCACGTCAGATGTACATTTATAGTGGATTCTGTGCACATCAAGTGTATGGCCTAGGTGATCCACCACCCACTGCTGCTGTTGAGGTTTTATTTCTATAGCCTGAAAAAATAATAATTACATTTTTTCGTTATCATTTGAAATGTTTCAAAGACTGAAGCAGATGTAAAAAAGGCATCCTTCCTTCCTGTTTTTAAATTTCATTGTTTTACTGTTCACAGACAAACCATTCTTTTCTTAGCTGAAAACCATCATACTCATTTGAAGCATTTATTCTTTCTATTTGTATCACATAACCATGAACTGTAGTGCATAAGATAGTAGTTGTTCAAAAGTATTAATATAGAGATTGTTACTTTCTTTCTTACATTAACAAGCAGATGACCCCATTTCAACTGTCAAAATTAATACGAAACTTCCTGACCTCAAAAACCGAAAGGAAACTGCTCAATTACTCATTTGATAAATGTTATTAAATACAACCATTAAAATGCAACCTGTGTTAGAGTGGCCATGAGGCGTCTCATGTTTGTCCCCCTAATTCTTTCTGGGTTTGTAAGTCCTGCCTTCTCTGTCACAGATATAATAGCATCATATCATCGGACAACACCACCTCCTTGATAGAAATAAAATGGCACATTGGATTTCTTTCTACACCACAAAAGTATCACTCATCAACTTCAAGGTGATATTAAGATCATTTACAAATAGCAAACAAAATATTCAACATATATCAGTAAACACTGTACAACAGGGATAGCGTTTCTGCGATGATTTTAATTTCCAAATAAACCTTTGTCAACCATTTTTATTTGATACCATGCCAATATTGAAAAACACTAATTCTCAAGTACTTACTGTTAGTTGCAAATATGTATGGTTTGGAAGGAATTCCCACATTCCTCCTTATCCCTGGGTCAGCTAGATATTTTAGAATCCTTCTGATGTGTGATGGCACTATCACTGGCACATATTTGCCACACTGTAATATGTAAAATATAAAGAACTTTATTGACTTTGCTGAAACATAAAGAATATTTTTGGGACTATCACTTTTTCCTTCAGAACTTGGACTCATAGTCTCTTCAAGAGACCGATTCAAAACAAGATTCAATTTTCATTTGATACATTTGACAGCTATCTGCATGTCAATTAAAATAATACATGCATGTTTCACTGTTTTCAAACAGCTAAGATCATGAGACTTCTTTTTAGATTTCTGCGCTAACCTTTCCTCTGTTTTCAATCACATCCTGTGATTCTACCAGTTTCTTCTCAAAGGAACTCAGGTTGTGTGCAATCTCCTCAGATACTTCATCAATACATGTCTTTCTGTTTTCATAGGCCATCAAGCTGCAAGAACATAGTAAATTGAATTATAACAAGAGGTCCAATGGCCCTGCATACATCGACCACCTGGTATTCAAAGTTTACATATCAAACTAATGACATACCTTACGTGTTAAAGAGGGTAGCTCCTAGATCCAATCATTTCCAACTAACTCCAAAACATTTACCTTACCAAAGTTAAGGATTCAGTTGATCATAAATTGCTTAAAGATTTTGATATTTGACCCCAATGACCTTGAGACAGGTTCATCTGCTTTTTGTAGATATTGTCCGCTATGATCTAGGGAATGTACCTGCCAAATATCAGAAACTTGCCAATTTATTTTAGAAGCTGATAAGAAGTTAAAATTGGTGCTGGACAGACAAACCTGTAAGCCAAATTTAAAGTTGCAATGGCTGATATTTTAGATGACTTTGATGGGTCTCAAGACAGATTTTTTTATGAAGGTTCAAGATGTAATTATTAATTAAGAATTATGTAGTACTACCTAGACCACCACCTTAGCAAGGTGAACCAATATGTTTAGTATGAAGTTCCAGTGACTAGTAGAGTAAGAGATATGGACTGGAAAGTCCTTTTTCTCTTATATAGGTCAAAGTCAAAATGTAGGTCACCATGATCAAATTTTACACACAACACACCTACTCAGCAAGGCTAACCTATATGCCAAAGGGAAAGACAAGACCCAACCCAAAATTATATACCTGACACTATGGTAATTGCAGGAAAATATGATGGGAAAATAATCATCATTATCAAGAGAATATAACAGAGAAATCTCCATACTTCATATAATCCAAGGATTAGACAATCAAGAAAATTACCCAAAGCGTTTCACAGTCACACACTCAAGGTAGGGGAAGATTCTTTTAATCCTTCAATCACATTATAATAACTTGGATTATAATACCTCAGTGCTTGGATCTCTCCTGGTCGCCGTCTGTTGTAGGTTATAAGCCCAGCCTCAGCCAGTATAACACCATTCCGAAAGTTCTCATATGAAGTGTCTTCTATGTTGAAGTTTTCCATTTCAGAACGCAAGTATACCGCCAGCTTTTGGACATCCTCGGGTAAAGGTAGAGGTTTATTCTTCAAGTGCTTCCTCTCTTCTAATGCTACTCTAGACAGCTTTGTTGTCCATTCTAATTGCATCAATTTTAGGAAATCCTTTGCCTCAGATTTCTTTATGTTGTCGCATTGCTTAATCGCATTGGCAAGCTTTAGATTTCCCATTCTTTTTAAGTCATATGCTAATTTGATGGCATTAGATGGGGCTTCAATCTTCTCCTCATCATCCTCATCTTGTCTTGCAACTTTTAATGTAGCTTTTGCAATTTCAGTGAAATACATTGGATGAATGTATGACTCAAGGTCCTTTCCACTGGCAGGAGTTACCATGCTGTTCAACTGAATTAGGAGCCTGCTGGCAAGTCGCATAACTGCAGAGGCATAATATTTCCGCATTAATTTGTTACCAACGTTACGGCGCATCCACTGATTTCCTAAACCTACAATTAGTCTGTCCTGTCTTGCCAAGACACCAACTTTGTAGTCTTTCATGATTGGAAACACTTCCCTTACCAAAGTTTGGTCAGCCTCTCCAGTAACCCTTCCTGCTAATACAGCACTTTGAATGAGGAGATTTCCTTTTGAAACATGTACAGAAGCTGATTTCTTACTTGTTGTGCACTTGTGTCTATGTATATTTGCTAAAAGAATCCAAGACAGACAATTTGGACAAGGTCCATAGTTGGAAACACTGAATTTTTTCTCATTGCACCGGCGAGAAAGGAGTAGTTCTCCTTTCTTGGCTTTAAGCACATCTTCATTGTGCTGGTTGTTTCCTTTGTTTCTAAGATCAGTTAACAATAACTTTTTGTCTTTTCCTTTGGCACACAACAGCTGTTTTACAAGAGGTTCATTTCTATGGTGTTTTGACATGACATGCTGTGCAAAACTGGAACATAATTTTTTGCAAAAAGGACAGCAATTTCTGGTATTGTAAACACGGTCACTTCTTTTAGCCTTTCCATTTTTACTGGTTGAAGAATGTCTAATTTTTTTCACAAAAATGCTTTAACAATCTTCATCTCGGAAAATTTCATCTTCATCAAGATCACTTTCATCCTCCTGTTCAGAACTGTCATGTGGTTCTGTATTCAGTGACAGTGGTCCAAAGCATGGAACATTTGGAATAATATCTGACAGATCTGAATCACTATCTTCTACAATTTCAGACCCTTTCTCCACTTTCAATCTTTTTACTTTAAGTCTGGAAGAAGAAGCAATACCTCTCTTTGATGTAACGTTTGATTTTGACTCTTCTATCATCTCATCATCTTCACTAGAATCACTTGAATATGGTGAATATTCCGAGACACTAGTTATCAACAGTGCTTTCATCAGACATTTCAAAACTTTGATCACTATCCATATCACACTCTAAGTTATCAGCTGTTTGATTGTCAGAATACATGTATGGTGATAAGGTTGGATTTGGTGCTACCACAGCAGTTTGAAGGAAAGTAGTCATCCCATCTTTCATCCCAAATTCACCTTTGAATAGATAATTCTCACCATTGGAATCTTTCACACTCACAAAATCAGGAGACGAACTGAATTTAGAACTGGAATGATAACCATGTACATCTAGTTTACTTGGCTGTTTAAAAGACACTGAAGAGGAAGGAAGTTCACAAGACATCAAGGTGGTAGGCACAATATTGGTAGGCAGTTCACAAGAAGCTGAGGTGGTAGACAGTTCACAAGATGCTGAGGTGGTAGACAACAAATCAGTATGCAGTTCACAAGATTCTGAGGTGGTAGACAACAAACTGGTATGCAGTTCACAAGATGCTGAGGTGGTAGACAACAAATCAGTATGCAGTTCACAAGATGCTGAGGTGGTAGGCAGTTCACAAGATGCTGAGGTGGTAGGCAGTTCACAAGATGCTGAGGTGGTAGACAGTTCATAAGATGCAGAGGTGGTAGACAACAAATCATTATGCAGTTCACAAGATGCTGAGGTGGTAGGCAGTTCACAAGATGCTGAAGTGGTAGACAGTTCACAAGATGCTGAGTTTGTAGACAACAAATTGGAATGAAGTTCACAAGATGCTAAGGTGGTAGACAGTTCACAAGATGCTGAGGTGGTAGACAACAAATCATTATGCAAGCAGTGTAACCCTTTGGACTCTTACCTGTTTAGTTATCTCAATATCTACTTTATACTTCTTTAAGAGATACTTGTTGTTTTTCAGCTTCCCTGAAACAAACAAAATGCACTTTACTAAACTACATAAAACAGACATGGAATTTTCATCAACACAAGGGTTTTTAAATATAACAGGAGATCCAAGAGTTTTTGAAATAAACTTTTGATAAATCATGGAATATTGTTACATTATTTTGAAATACATATCATGTTACAACAATGTTAATGCTGTACATCAACATGTACAAGGCTAGTTTGTCATGAACACTATTGCTGTAGTTATCAAAACAATGTCCTGATAGTGCTGGACAGCATGATAATCATGGTTGATATCCTCTGATATGATAACATCTGACTCACGGACAGTTCTATTTTGGGATTTATAGTAGGACACAATGGGATGGATGGTAATTTGTTCCTTACTGTAATACACCGATTTGATTTCATCCTGGTATTTTACCTCCCGGTTTCTTGCGAAGTCCATTACTTGCAATAGGCAGTTTTCAGGCAGGTTCTGTTTGATGGAAGTAAACTGCATAGTTTGCCAATTGGCAGTGTTCAAGTGTTGAAAAAAGATGTTCCTGACGTTGGCTCCTCAATGTCTTTAAGGAATTCTTCGAGCAGTTCATGTTTCTGTCCTTGTCTTGTAGTGAGGATACTTTTTTTCTTTTTCTCAATTTCAGTGTAGGTCCATCTACTCCAGGTCAATAGCGTCTCATCTGAGATCTCTTGATGAAAAGTATTAAGCTTTTGTTTTCTGGTTTCCCTCGGACCACATGTTTTACATGTTCCATTTATACAATCCATCTTGAAGAACCTCTCTGCATCTGACTTAGGACAAAGCAACATCTCGCATATTTTACCTTCGGAGGTAACTTTGGATTCTCTTTTTACGTGTCGACTTAATGTCAGCATTTTCTTTCGTATGTTTATGCAATATACACAACAAAATAATTCTGTTGTACAATGCCGGACACTGTCACTTGCATCAAGTAACCTGGACCAGCGTTTGTAGTTTAATGCTTCTGGGGCACAACTCTATAAATATCCTCCGAAAGTAGAACTTCTTGATAGTTTCATTTACAGCATTGCACCTCTTACCTTTAGTGACCTTTTTCTGATTTAAACTGATTGTTCTTCTGTTCATTTCCAGTTTCTTCGCAACAAATCTTCTACTCTTGTTTTTATACTGCCTGGCTACTTCTTTCAGTGCTGATTTACCTTTTAGTGTTTTTTTTAAGGGTTTTTATCAATAATTCTTCATCATTTTTGACTGAGATTGTTTCAATCACTGCCTTCTTGTGTGGAGAGAGATTTTTTTGTAAATTGTCCAACACTTTCACAAACTTCCTTGGTGATGATGGGAAAGCCTGTCTGACTTTTGAAGTTACATTCCACTCAGTTTTCTTTGAAGAAAATGGTGTTTTTTCTATGTTTGTTAATGAGGTTTCAAGTTTTCGTTTTGTGTTAGTGATCTGTTGTCTTTTGACTCTTTTTATTTCTCGGTCTTTCTTTTTTATCCAATGTTTCTTCTGTACAGACATTCTGGCACGGGATTCTTGTTTTTTGATACGATTATATTCCTTTTTAGATTTAATACTCTTTCTTGTCTGTATAACAACTTTTGGGGATTTTGACTTTGAAACTTTCATTTGATATTCACCTGGATGGTCTTGGTCTCTGTTCTTCTTTTTTTCCATGTATCTCTTTTGCCGCTCCCTCTGCTTTTCCAACATTCTTGCCTTTTTTTCCAATGCATGTGTGTCTTTCTTTAAAACTCTTTCTTTCAGGTGATCTCTTGCTTTTTTTCATCTTTCTGTTTTTTCAGGTATAAATCATAGTTTGGATTTTGTTTCCGGCTCCGGATTCCTGATTCACCTTAAAAAAAAGAAGAGTTAATGTCAGTGTTATGCCGTACGAATTGAGAACAAACAACTCTGCATAAAGTGTCACCATGTATTAATCAAAATGCGGTGAAAACCTACAATCAAAACAGAACAAATACTTACAAATGGAATGACAATACAAATTCATATGACGTACAATTATAGAAACCGTATACGTATGACGTACCCGGAGATATGACGCTAAATACCAGTTTAACTTATTGCCACAAACCAGACTTCCAAATCGTTTTAACCGATGGAATATAACTAAATTAACACCAGAAAATCCACAAATGTTGTCAAACGATAAATCAAATTGGCGTCAAATCATCGGCCATGCCATACCACAAACCTACACAAAATATTTAACCTGTCTATATTAATGCACCAACTCAAGAATATCAAGATGAAATATCAGTTAAATGTCTCACATTATTTTATAACTATCATCTATAATTGACTAGAATGCGTAATGAAAGGTATTTATATACACATAACGCCATGTAACCAAAGTTGTTGAAACCAAAAGTACACTGGATTCCGAGAAATTCAAAGTTTATCGATAGCATGTGTTTACAAATATTTTGACCATAATCAAACCTAATATGCATAGACTACACTATGACAGTCAATCATTAACATAGATAACACGTAATGCCATTTACTTACAGAGTGTGAGCCACTAGACTGCCAGAAATCTTTGTTAAATGCCATATACAAATGTATCCTGTGCGAGCACGCCGCAACTATGGGTGCCGCCATTGCCTAACCTGTTTATCCAAAAACACGAGGAGGCCCAACTAGTCGATAAGATAAACCAAAACAATCGCCAAACTAGGCGATAAGTGTCAATTAACTAAAAATGGTCAAATATCACAAATTATCCAAATTAACAAAAGAACATTAATCTAAACACCAATTAATCTTATATTTTAACAGAACAGTCAGAGACACAGATTTATTTACATGATAGGTTATATTCACTATCAATTCCATTGTCAAGGTTAAGGTTTTGTATAAATATTGTCAATTTCCCTTTTATGCACAGTTATATCCCTGCTTCCCCTACCCATGATGTCTCCATGTCCCCAGTTGATCGGATATTCATGGGCTTGTACTAGATATCATGAGTTTTACATAAGATCTAGACAGCTGGTAAACAAACTCATGTGGCAGCATGATGAAGATTATAAGAAAATTTTATGGTCGCTACCACAATTTTGTTAGGAAATGTTCTGTTTCCTTGAACGACATGAGGTCAGACATTTTTTAGACCATATTTTTGAATGGCTTTAGTCCATTTGATCACACACTTTGTGGTAAGAGGTGGGCATAACAACTAGTGTTGTTTCGATTAATCAAGTTCATTGAGGATCACTTATCCGAGATGCTTGATCAATTTATTAAGTAAGAAATCTGTAAAAGATTTTCATAAAAAATACTTGACATCGTGATGTAAGAAAATAAATTATTTCAACATTGAAATTATTTTCAACATTAATAAAATTATTGAAAAGTATTCTGTGCAATTTACTTAATAACAAGCACACAAAAAGATGGTTTAAGTACACAACAGTTGTCGTAATTAATAAAAATGCAGTTAAAACATTTCACATAATACATATTTAGACTTGAATAATATCCAAAACAGACTTTAATCGATAATCCGTCAGTTACACAAAGTTGATGATTGATCAGGAAATTTCAACAGATTCCTAGTACTAATAACAACACTGTTATACGGTATATATCAATTTATATATAAAGACCTTTAAACTTGAATTGACCTACATGTAGCTATCCACGGTCTACATGAGGGTGTCATTGATGTAGCAGAAGAC